TTTTTTTTTTTTTACTTTTTTATTATTTGTATGTATTTTTGGTCTGTGTTTCTTTTAAACACAGCTAATATAGTAATATATTTTGCATGACTTCAAATGTATAATCAGCATCAAATTGTTTGCCTTCCCCAGGAGGAATGGGAGGGAGGGAGAAAATTTGGAACTCAAAAATTTTAAAAGTAGATGTAAAAAAAATTAACGAAATAAAAATGTTTCAAATATGGAAAAAAGAAAGTAAATTCTTTTTTTCCCCACAGGATTTTGAGTGAAGACAACCTCAAATTGTTGGGAAAAAAAAGAAAAACAATTCTGAACATTTTCCTATTGGGATGAAGGGGTTGGGGAATCAAGCCTTTGCCACACAGGTTGTAGGATGCTTGTAGTCAGTGGGCACAGGACCTTTATTGAAAAAAAATACACATACAAATATATGTTTATATATATATATGCATATATTATATATATATAAACACTGAATATGCTTATATTTCAACCTAGAAATACATGCATAGTAAGTATATATTTTCAGAAAACACTATAATTATGAAATTATAGCTCTTGCTTAAAACATTTTTTAAAATTTAGAAGGTTAATAACATGATATATTAGTGTCATCTTTCCACCAAACTCAATACTAAAAATATAAATAAATAAAATCTTCAGGAACAGACATGTTAGACATGTATAGGAAAACAATAATTGACCATAATATGAAATAGAAGAACTTGGCTAAAAAAAAAAAAAGACCCACAGTTCTTACAAACCATTTTTATGCCCAATATCTATTTGAACTCATTACATCAATTTCACTCAATTCTCTCTATAGCAATCCATGAATATGGGAGAGATGTTAAATCTATACCTAAAGCTCTGCGTTACTATCAACTACTTGTTTAATTAGAATTTAAACAACTTCACACTATGTAGTAAAATATTCAATGTGGAGAGCTGCATTTTCCCTCTGGGATTCAAGTTCTTCTGCTATAAAATAATGAGATTTGAGTATATAAACACTAAGTTCCCTCCTAGGTCTAAAACTTTGATCCCATAAAATACTATTTCCATCTTTTTTTAAAAAATTGTTCAGGCCTTTGAGTACAATTTTTTATTCAAAATCCAATTTAAATTCATATGAATTATCAGCATTCTTTGATGTAACTATTGACTTCTCCAGTAAATACTATATTCCAGATACTAGAATCAGCCCAGAAAAAAAAAAAGTTTATCTTCTATTCTACAGAAGCTACTACAATATCTCATACCTTTGAGTTGGTGGAGTAATTGTTTCTAAGAGGCATTTAACGCTCTAACATAGCACTGGAGTTTTAATTTGAGGCTTCCAATGCTATATCAGTCAACTACTCTGAGATATGTGTAACAATCAGTCACTTGAATTTATGACAGGAGATAGATGAAGTAAGAATGTATAATAAGTCCTTTTGGAGGAGGTGGTAAGGTACCCCCACCTAGATGCAGCAAAGTACCACTATTTAGAACAGCTTATGATGCAGTAGATAGAGTTGTGAATTTGGAATCGGGAAGACCTGAGTTCAAAACAAAGTTTAGATATTTAATAGCTTTTATGACTCTAGCAAAATCATTGCTCTGCCTACTTCAGCTTCCTCATTTGTAAAATAAGGACAAAAATAATACCTGCCTCACAGGGCTTGGGAGAGGATAAAATGAGGTAATATGTATAACGTACTATATAAATGCTTACCATCAACATCATTATTATAATTATTATTTACAATGTTTGGTTAACAAGTGCAAAATAACATCATACCAAAAAGAAAGGGGAGAAAAAAACACAAGAGCAAATAATAACAAATACCAATTTAAAATAAGGTTTATCTAAGTATAGAATTGGGGTTGGGGAAGGTCAATTCACTCAGTTTTGCAGCCTCAGAGTAATCTTCAACTCTCAGTCATATTCCATTTCTAATTAGTTGCCAAATCTTATTGGGTCCCTCTCAACACTGTATCTTGCATTCATCTTCTCTTCAGCCAACCATCTTAATTCAGGAAAGCATCACTTCTCACATGTACTATTTCATTCAGAGTTCCTAACAACCTTCCTTCATCCAGATTATCCACTCTCCTCTTTGCCTCATAGACATGCTTGACATAGTTACCAAAGAGATATTCTTAAAAAAATCTGACCATGTTGATCCCCTAATCCAAAAGCTTCATTGCCTCCCAAGTAACTATATAATCAAAAAGTCCTCTGTCAGCCAGTTAGAACTCTTAATAACCTGTTTACAAGCCTATTTTTCTGGATGTAGTATACATTATACCCAGGTATAATATGAGCAGGCACACACACACACACATACTCACACACACATACACACACACACCTATGTTCTGTGGTCTATTTTGCTGATCCTCGTAGAGGAAATTCCTTTTTTGATCTTGCTACCATGTCATGGACTATTATCCCCCATGCTTTGTACTATCTCCATTCTCACTATTATCTCTTGGAACTACTAACTTCCATCATGCCTTATTTCAAGTTGTTGTTCAGTCATTCAGCCATGTCCTACTATTCCTGACCCCATGAGCCATACTATCCATGGGGTTTTCTTGGCAAAAATGCTCAAGTGTTTTGCCATTTCCTTCTCCAATGGATTAAGCTAAACAGAGGCTAAGTGACTTGGCCAGAGTCACACAGATAGGAGGTGTCTGAAGTTGATTTGAACTCAGGCCTTCTGATTCCAGGTCTAGTGCTGTATCCACTGAGCCATCTAGCTGTCCTTTATGTCAACTACCACACCCTATGAAATACCTCCCCCCGCCACCAGCTAGTATTGTTCCCTTTTTCCTAATATTATTTCGTATTTATTTTGTATATTTTAAATACAGTTATATGCCCCTCATTCCTAACACAGAGATTGATATTAATAGAAAGTTTTTTCTGTTTTATTTTTGCCTAAGTATCCCTAACACCTGTCATAATGGTTAACTCATAAGAATGTGACACTTGTTGAATTTAATTTAATTGCATGAGATTGAAATAGATGACCTGTAAGGTCCCTTCCATTTCTAAATTGATACTTCAAAGGAACATTATTACTTTCCTGCAACAATTAGGATATTCAAGGTAATATTCCTCTATAGAAGGCAATATTACTAAGTGCTTCAAATGAATACCCAAATTAATATATTGCTCTTGTCTTCATATTTAGAAATATTGTATAATCTAAATCAATACCTTTTTATAGACTTTCTTGGTTAGTGAGAAAGAATAACTATTAGTAAGGAAAAAATAACTATGTTCCTAAAAATAGGTGCCACTGACCTAGTGCTTTAAAATTTGCAAATCTCTTTATAACTATTCTGTTTTGGCCTCACAACCACTCTGTGAGGTACTTCAGGTAATATTATCCATGTTTTATATATGTGGAAAGTGACATACAAAGAGTTTAAGTGACTTATTGAGAATTATTCAGTTAGGGGGCAGCTAGGTGATACAGTAGATAGAGCACTGACCCTGGAGTCAGGAGGACCTGAGTTCAAATCCAGTTTCAGACCAAATACTTGACACTTATTAGCTGTGTGATCCTGGGCAAGTCACTTTACCCCATTTGCCTCTCAAAAGAAAAAAAAAAGGAAGAGAATTATTCAGTTATTAAGTATTAGAGACAAATTTTGAACCCAGGATTTCTTATGTCCTGGTTTAGCAGTCTATCCACTAAACCCCTTCAATACTGTTAATACTGTGACTTTTCAAAACAATGCCCCTCTACCTTGATCATATGTTTACAGTATCACATTTCCTTATAGTCACATTATGCAAAAGTTAAGAAAGGATACAAAATGAATCATGATGTCCTTACACAAAAATAAAATATAAAATGTGGTGAAATATTTTTTTCCTTTAATAAAAACAAATGACAAATGAGTAAAGTGAATTTGCTAACAAAATTGTCTCAGAAAATATTTTAAACTCATTTGACCTTGTGAAACTGATTTTGTCCTATTAAATGGCATTCAGTATATTTGACCAATGCTGGTTAATTTTGAGAGTATGTAACTAATGATCTTAGTGTAATTGTAAGAGATGCAGAAGACAATATTAATTGCTTGTTGTTTTGATTTTTGCCAGCATATTTCAATACGTTTTCCTAGTGATTACTACTACTAATAATATTTAAAATTTTAATTATCTTATGAGAAATTTCTGACTATACATTGACTCTACCTTAAAACAGAAATGTCATTATTAACCATGTTTAAAAGTTTGTAGTGTATCCTGTAATATCTCTCAACAAATAGTTGCTTTGTTGTATCCATATATATTCCATATAGGATTCATAACCTTTTCTTAACAACTGGACAAACTACATCTAAGTTTGAATAATTATACTTATAGCTCTTTGGACCTATGTCCTTCTAGACTATAATCCCTTGGAGGTCAGAAAGAACAAAAGTATTAGTCTTTTTTTTCTACTTTAATGATCAGTACAGCACATAAAAGTCTCCAAAGAAATTATCATTGGATGAATGAATGAAACAATGTCCTTTCTGTTTTCTTAATAGAATTTTTAAAAGAAAATTGCATATTCTTTACAATCCCTTGATTTAATCTATCATGCTTAAGAGAATAGTTGTATCTTGCAAATTTTCAGTACCCAAAAATGTATTCTTTCTGTTGTAATATGTTGAAGTTTAATTGAACTTATTTGTTTGCCAAAAAAAAATAATCTGCCAGTTGTTCTGTCATGACATTCTATTCCTAGGAGACTGAGGTCCTTTTAGAAATAGTACAAAACTGATTCAACCTCCACTGAAATCATTTGGTACCACTGTAAGAAACAGTTAACACAATAAATATCTCTTTATATACGTTACATTTTTCCCTAACCCTAATCCCAGATGAGCATATTAGGCCCTAAATAAATGTTTATTAAAATTGAATCAGGGAAGACAAATATAAATAAAACAATTATGTTAATAACAGTAATCCTTTCATTGTCTTCTCTTTGTTCCATTTTCAGAAATTGAAAAGTTTCAGGGTTCTGATGGGAAAAAAGAAGATGAAGAAAAGAAATATCTTGATGTCATCAGCAACAAAAACATAAAACTGTCAGAGCGAGTACTGATTCCTGTCAAACAGTATCCCAAGGTAATCTAACTAAATTTTACCCCAATTAGTTTGCACAACGAATCATTTAATGACAAGACGGCACTTTAGTTTTTTATGTTTTAGAAAATAATATTGATGCATCCATTATCTATTTACAAAAATATATTCTAACACAAAGAGAACAGAAAAAAAAATTAAGCAAAGTGGAAATGTTAATCTTGTGGGAAGTAGAAAACAGCCACATTTTCACTTGGGCACTAAGAAAGTAATAATATATGATTGGGGAATGGCTGAACAAGTTATGGTATATGAATGTAATAGAATACTACTGTGCTATAAGAAATGATGAGCAGGCAGACTTCAGAAAAAAATCCAGAAAGACTTGTATCGTCTGATTCTGACTGAAGTGAGCAGAACCAGGAGAACATTGTGCACAGTAACAGCCATGTTGTGTGATGACTAATATTGATAGACTTAGACCTTCTCAGCAATGCAAATATAGTTAGATACTTGTGGACAATTGCTGAAAATTAATATGATTTTTTTTAGCAAATTACACAAACGTTCATACTATTTTTCCTGTCTTAGACACCTTAAAATGAATACTCATATGTTAAGCAATGTGCATTTAGTATGAGTAAATTCATATTAGACAATTAATTAGGAATGGCTATGCCTATTGCAAGTATCAACATAATTTTGGTAGGGTCATGTAAAACAGCAAGCTATTTTTAGAGAGCAGGTTTAATTTTCCATCAACAGTTTTGATAACATTTTCTGGGTGATGGCAAACTTCTCCTTTCAGTTCTTAGTACATTTTTTTCTGGTTAGGCAATATATCGTCATATGATATTTGGTTCAATATTAGCTTTGATTATACCTTTCCCATCTCATTGTCTGCTTTTAACAGTGGTAGCAATGTATTACAGTGGAGGGGAAAAAGTAGCAAATTAAGAAGAAAAGCTGTAATAGATGATGATCCAGTGACTTGTCAATATTTTATTTCATAATGATGAATATAAAGTCAAGAATTTGCAATCACTTACTATATATGTGCTATATGTATTGCAATATGATTTTTCTACATGTGTATGCATAACTAAATATATGTGTATTTGCATACATGTTTGATATATAAATGCTAAATGTTGATATTTTCATTTATATGTGTAAATATTATTAATTCATGTCATATATTGTTAATATATAATCTTAATGTATATCTATAATATGAAATCTTCTATTTTGGTGAAATAAAAGAACAAATTCTTTGTGCCCTTTATTAGTAGATAGGATTTGTGATATGTTAAAGTTGATAATATATTCTAGGCAGAAAAAAGAGATTCTGATTACTTAGAATTTGTATAATGAAATGTTATTGTTTTCCCAATCCAAATGACTAACCTTTGTATGATAATTTAAGGATTTTAATTTTTTTTAATTTATGAAATTATATCCATAAGACATTTTCCAGCTTCAGATAAACTTTGTAATTACCATACCATAAACAATAGAGTGCTTCCAATACAAAAAATACCTCTGTTAGGCTAAAAAAATAAATGTTATCAGTATGAATTTGGAATCATTTTATTATGTAGAATATACATAAAACTGAATTTCCTTGTAGATTTAGTGATTTCTCCCCGCTACTCAAGCTTGTAATATCTTGGAGAATCTACTCATGCATTAGAAACATTAATTAATAAGAATGTACACCTTGTTTATAGAACTTAGTCTGCTGACCATTATGCCATGTCAAAATCAGAGCTTTTGAGTTTGTTTATGTATTCAAATATATTATAATGATGTGATTTCTCAGAATACCTTCTTATAGTGCCCTGAAAAACTGACAATCTAGCTGCAAAATAAAAATTAGATCTATTATCTCTGGTCAAATTAGCTTGGCAAGGTAAGAAAGGTTTCTAAAGTCTGAATTATTCTTCAAGTTACAATATGAGTAGTTTTATATTGAATGCAGATAACAGTCTGTAGCATTGTGCTCAAATTGTGCATTGAAACAAAGCTTAATGATGTCTCTGTGAAGCCAAGGTGGAAAAATGTTTTCTTGAATTTACTTTACAAAGGAAAAGAAAGACAAACAAAGTATATAGCAGCACTTTAATAGTTTTATCAAGCTCACTAAGTTTCTTACCACTAGAAAACTCTTATTATTCTTGGCATCATCATTTTATTGAATGCTATGTATAGAATTCACCTTAGAGATAATTTAGTCCAATCCACATGTCCTAGAGGAGAATTCTGTGGCATAGAGCAATGAATTGGCTTTCTAAAAGTGACGTCTTTTGTTAGTTTTTTTTAACAATCTGTCCTGACACTTTCAATCACTTTTATTGATTATTTTTGTTGAATTTAAATTTTCCATCCCTTCCGAAAAACAAACAAAAAAATACATTGCCTCTAATTCTTATACCTCAAGCTTTTGATTGGATTGATCATGTAAAACACTTGGGTGATATGCAGTTGTTATTTTGCTTTGAAATTTAACAGTGTACAGGCATATGAAAGGGCTAGTTCATAATAATGTCAGCCTTACAAAGAATTGGAAATTGAGAGGATGCCCATCAATTGGGGAATGACTGAACAAGTTGTGGTATATGAATGTAATGTAATACTATTGTGCTATAAGAAATAATGAGCAGGCAGACTTCAGAAAAAAACCTGGAAAAACTTGTATGGTCTGATGCAGAGTGAAGCAAGCAGAACAAGGAGAACATTGCACATGGTAACAGCCATGTTGTGTGATGACTACTATGGATAGACTTAGTCCTTCTCAGTAATGAAAGTACCTAAGACATCTCCAAAGGCCTCATGATGGAAAATGCTATCCATATCCAAAGAAAGAACTATGAATTTTGAATGCAGGTCGAAGCATACTGTTTACTATTTTTTTCTTCTGTTGTGTTTTGTTTCTTCTTTCTGGTGGTTCCTCCTGTTGGTTCTAATTCTTACTTACAACATCACTAATGTGAAAATATGTTTAGTAGGAATGTATATGTATAGCCTATATTAGATTGTGCTCTGTCTTGGGAAGGGAGGTTGGGAGGGAAAAGGAGAAAAATTTAAAACTCAAAAGCTTATGGAAGTGATTGTTGATAAATCAAAATAAATTAATAAAAAAACATAAAGAAAGGTAACTAAATTTACCATTAGGAAGAACTTAAAGTTCTTTGTGTTTAGGGACCCTGTTTTATTGGTCTTTTTATCTTAATCAACACTGATGATCCTATATTGTATGTAAGTCATATGAATATTTGCTTTTTCTCCACACATTCCATCTCTTCTCTTTAGTCTTTTGCACAGGCTGTCTCCTATGTCTGTCTGGCATGCTCTCCCTTCTCATCTCTGTCCCTTTGGATCCTTATCTCTCTTTAAAGGTCAGCTCAAATGCCATCTCCTTCATGAGACCTTTCCTGGTTTCACTTCCGCTCAAAATCAAACACAGATGGTATTAACTCTCAACCCCATCTCCATTATTTTGTATTTCTTTTTATATATTTTGTATTTAGTTCTCTGCATATATGCTGTTTCTGTTTCATCAACTGTAAGCTTCCTGAGGGCAGGGACTTCTATTTTTTGTCTTTGTATTCCAAGTACCTAGCACAATGCTTGGCACATAGTAAATGTTTAATAAATGTTTGTTAAATTAAAAAAAAATCAAAAATATCAGCTTTAAATTGTTCAAGTGGCCCCATGCCTGAGAAGATTGAATGCTCTTTTATTTGAAAAACAGACTGTATATCTACATTTTTATTAAAACATGTTACATTCACATCATTATTCCCTTTACCTTTGGAAGTTTTCTGCAGAAAAGCAGGCCATGGTGAACATTTTCCCTTTCCTTATATTTTTATGAAATTGTTCTTAGTATAGACATTGCACTCAATCACAATCCCATTGCTTGCACAAAATAAATTAACAAAATTAATATCTATTCTTGCCAAGTTGGTTATTTGTGTTCATCTAGTATAAAGAAGATTACATTGAGTTAAAATCATCTGATGCCTACTTCTGAATCTGCATTTGACAATGTGTGTATGTGTGTATATGTATGTATATATACATATGTGTGTGTATAAAAATATAGATCTAGGTGAAGAGATATAGGTATAGTTATAGACAAAGATGGATCACCTACCATGGTGCAGCATAGAGAGATGACTCATTAAACATTCCATGACAATTTATAAAAGAATGACTTTCACCTTTTATTATTCTTCAGAGAAAGACACAGGAGAAGGTCTATCACTTTCCCATCTTCTACTCTTTATAAAGAACTCTTCTTTAGTGTCTTGTTTGTATTTTGATGACTCTGCTTAGAACTAATCAAGCAGGGAAAGATGGATTATAACCTCTGGAGAGGGGCTGTCAAGGCCCAATAAGTTTATTTGCAAAGATACTGGGTTATAGCTTCATCAGATGCTTACTCTCATTAAATAAGGTTAAAATCTCCATGGAAATGTAAGCTTATTGCAATAGATGAGTGTTGACACCAAATCCCTTTAGGCATGTGCTTATATGACTTGATGTGCAACATGGAATAAATGCATTTGAGGACTGGTATTTTTTTTAATATGGACTATTATTCTTTCAGTCAATGTTCACAGAGCTTTGCATATTGTCTTCACAATTAGAATGTGATATTCTTGAGGACAGGGATGGTTTTTGCCTTTCTTTGCATTTCCACCCATTAGCATAGTGTCTGGCACATAGTAGGAACTTAATAAGTGCTTGTTGACTTTACCTGAAACAATAAACTTATATTAAGCAATTATTGTATTTCAGGTGTTGTACTAAATTATCAAAATAATCTCTGTCCTCAAGGAGTTTATATTCTAATATAGATGATAGATAGATAGAGAAATTTCTTCAATAGACACTGAAAATGGAAAAGTTGGGTCCAAGAGCAGACTGGATTTCTTTTGTGAAATTACACAGTTATTTTAATAATCTCAAATATTTTCCTGAAACAAAGAATAATCCTTACTATTACTATTACTAACTATTACTATTACTATTAC